ATATTTTGCGAAAGTCTAAAACGAACGGAATACCTGCGGATATAAACACATCTTCGGAACAATGCCCTACGATAAATATTTAAACGAATTCTGTGATATTATCGATACCTATGGCGGTCGTGATAAGGTAATGCAAAAAACGAAAGAGTTCAATCACTGGCTAATCTAAATAACCATTGTAGACATAGGAAGATTATGGCGATTGTGGATTTGTTGTTACCAGCCCACTTCCATGTCCGACGCAATCATCGTTAATTCACTTTCGTTTGTCGATTTCGATTGCCGCCATTCGTTCATTGGGTTGGTTCGTTCGTTGCCATTGCCAACAAACATAGAAAATCAATTAGATTTAATTGATTCCGGCAAAAAGTAATTGCAAAAAAAAAGTTTGACGGAGGAGAAGAGTTGGATGATGTTGTTGGTCATTTATTTCAAAAATTGAATTGTGTGGTTATTGTTGTTCGCGTGTGTTTACATGGAACGAGCGGCGCAACACGGCATAGCAGGTGGTTGTTACTTACAGTCGGTCAGTCCGTCATCTGAGTAAACTGCATTGTTGGCAATGTCAGTGGTTCGCGTTTCCCAGTCAATCGTCTTTTATTTTAATAGAAGTTGTTAAACTAGTCTCCACCTTTTTTTCTGGTTCCCCCATTCTCCAATATTGACTGAGTGACATGAATGCCACATTTGAAAGAAAACAACAGGTTTTCTTTATTATGAAGCAGTGTGCTGTATATTGTTGTTATTATTTTTACGTGAAAACGATCGTATTGCATTGCCTAGGCTAGCTGATTATCGTTTGACATTGTTGTGATATTGTTCACGATCATGATGAGGGAGTACGAACAACGAAATGGTTTATGACCAAAATGAAACAACAACTATCAAACTTATTCAAACATTCAAATTACTTTTTGAAATTTGGACCTTGCATTCCTCATTTCCTCAGTGTAAAGAAATGGTATTTCTTTCAAGACATATATAGGGTAAACGCACCAAATTCAGACATGTACCAATATCTGTTTTATATAACTTCAAATAACTAAAAGAATCCTAAAACTAAATATGAAAAATTCCTTGAATAATCTTCAATAACACTGCAACCTATTTCTGTATAAAATTTAATCAAGCTAAGTACATTCAGTCAAAATTAGACATTTGGTCAATGAGGTGCCAACACTAGTCAAAATTGAGCTACAAATTAATTTTATAATAACATGCAAACGGACTATCCGATTTTAACGAATCTTTGTACAACCTATTATCTTTACCAAGCCTAGATCAAGTTTGAAGATGCAACCCATTGGTCCACTTTTTCTGGTAGCTCCCCCGCAGAGGTTAAAAAATTTCAATATTCATATTCCCCCACAGAGGGTCACAATTTTTAATGTTTATAAATCCAATATCAGGCGATTGGAATGTCCGATTTGAACTGAACTTTTTTTTTTTATAATATACAAATTTAAATTCTTATATTTTATACAATGCTGTTTATTACTAAATATTGAATATGTGATATTAATACACTTACTTGAGTAGTTAGCCACTTGCCAAATATTGAAATATATTATTATTTTTAGAATAATACCTTCTAAGATATCATTAAGAAATCTTGTTAAATGGAGTAGTATAGTTTGCAATTTAAATGAAATCGGCCTTAATGGCTTCAAATTGCATTTTTGGAATAAATAAATAAATAAAAATAAATAAATAAACTTTGTACAACCTATTATCTTACCAAGCCAATATCAAGATGGAAAATAGGACTCATCAGTCCACTCCTTCTGGTATCTCACTCGCAAAGGGATAAAATTTTTAATATTTATGAATCCAATATCAGGCGAATAGAATGTCCGATTTGAACCAAACTTAGCACAACCTATTATCTTAACCAACCTAGATCAATTTCGAAGATGGGACCCTTTGGTCCACCCCTTGTAGTTCCTCCCCCACATATAGTCAACATTCTCAATAATTATAAATCCAATATCAGTCGAACGGATTTTAACCAAGATTTGAACAACCTGTTATCTTTACAAAGTCTAGATCAAGTCCGAATATGGGACCCATTGATCTACTCCTTCTGGTACCTCCCAAATAATCAACATTTTCAATTCTAAATCCAATATTATGCACAACCTATTATCTTGACCAAGCCTAGATCAAGTCCGAAGGTGGGACCCGTCTGCCCTCTCCCTTGGTACCTCTTACAAAAAGAGTCAATATTATCTATTTGATCAACATAAAATCGGAAACATCTTTAATTAAACATATACCTTGTACAAACGAATAATAAAACCTGTGTATAACTCCGATGACCGCCTTCGCAATCCATAGGTTCTAAGTATTTAATTTCAAATAGACCAGAATCGACACTTGCAACTTTCTAAGCAACTATGCTGCTGCTCTCTATGATTCTGTTTTGAATTTTTTCCCCATGTCACTTTTTATACCTCTCTCTTCTAAGAACTCAACAACTACTACTCCTTTGTAGTTTGATAATTCTCAATTACATTGCCTCACTAAACCTAAATTAATTACTTGCTACAAACCGCCGACCTCTTCCCATACGAATTTAAAATTGTTTTCTTTTTTTGTTAATTCTTTAATTAAATTAAGGCAATTTACACCATTAAACTATGCTGATTATTCTGTGTGTGTTTTGCCATAGAAAACACGATTATCGAACGCATAGTAAAACTTGTCACTCAATTCATCACAGATGACAACGACGACTAGTCACGCGATTTAATTATTTATTGAATAATTGAACTGAAATTTCTTTGGGTTATATTGACACAGGTTATATTTTTGTCGTTTTTCTTGTTTCAATTGAACAACCTAAACAATGGATTATCTAATGTTTTGTTTTTGGACAAAATGACGAATAGAATAGATGGACACTTGTAGAAAGTGACAATGTATTTGGTATAAATTACAAATTAAATGCATTTTAATTGATTTGGTAATTATACATATTTATATTTGTATTAAAGGGGATTTTTATTTACGTTTGAATGTTTAACTGTTGTGTTGTTGCTGGTATTGAAGTCAATGTTGACCTTACGAGCTGGGCTAGGTTCTCAAATATGCAAATATATGGAATTTTGATGAGGGTCATAATAATTTTCATAATTAAATCGATATTATCAACAAAATTGCAATTTAATTAAAATCGGCCTATGATGCTTCAAATTCCATTTTTGAAATAAAAAATGAATTTGACTTAATTCGTGTAAAAGGGTGGGGAACGAGTCACATAAAGGAGGCTGTGACTATATTTGCCTGTTCCCTTGTCATTTTCATTTATTTTTCTCCTTTATGCCTTTCTTCCATATGTTGTAAGTACAGTTGATTTTTTCGGAGTAATTAATTTTTAAAGTGTAGAAGATTCGACTTTAGTATTAAGTCATCTCTTCTAGTACTATGTTATTGTTTTTAGGCTTTGTAAAATATCTTCAAAGTATCGGAAATTAAAAATTCGAACGAGATTAAACTAGTATTAATAATTTTGCACTAAAATTGGCCTATGAACTTTTTCTGGCATTGATTTGATTTACAAATTAAAAATAATAATAATAAAATATATATTCTAATTCGATCTAATCGAATTAAGATAGATCGCCAAAATTTTGCATAGACTCGTCTTTTGTCTGCGGGCAGATCAAGTTCGAAAATGGGTTATGTCGGTCCACGTTTAGGCATAGCTCCCATATAAGGGTACCTCCCTTATTTTAGAGTTCTTGAGCTCGTTTTTCAACCGAATTCGCTGAAATTTGGTACATTGTGTTCTTATAGGGTACCAAATATTTTCACAAGAAATTATAAATATAGGGGTTCCATACAACGGAACCCCTCTAATTTTCAGTTTTTGAAGGTTTTCATAGCATTTTTCGACCGAATTGGCTGTAATTTAGTCTTTAAAGTTCTTATTGGGTAGCAAATCTCTCCACTAAAAATTATGAATATAGCCCATTTTTTTCTCGTAGCCCCCACATAAGGGTTCCCCCAATTTTTGGTATTTTGAGCGCGTATTTCTACCAAATTCAAAGTAATTTTGTATTTTGTAGCCGTATATGGTTACAAATCGCCCTACCAAAAATGTTGTATATTCACCCCCTTTTAGGGATAGTCCCCATATAAACCCCTTTTTTATTATATCCTTCACCACACTGTGGTACAGGGTGTTATGTCTTTGTGCATATGTTTGTAACAGGCAAAGGAAACGAGATAGACACATGGTTCCTTTTGGGAATATACATAGAATCCGTCCGTCTGTCTGTCCACGTTAAATTGTAAACAAAGTACAGGTCGCATTTATGATTCGAATTGGATGAAATTTAGCACAGCTCATTTATTTGGCCCAAGGACGAATGATTTGTTCTAAGTTTCGTGAAGATCGGTTCAGATTTTGATGTAGCTCCCATATATATTCCGTCCGATGTAGGGTAAATGGTACACCAAAGTCCCTATATATCTTTCGATGTGCTCGAAATTTGGCTCAGATTATGTCTAGAATGATGTGTATTAAGTATCGAGAAAATCGGCGAAGGTTCAAATAAAGCTCCCATATATATTTTCGTCTGATTTGATGTAAATGGTGAACCATAGACACAAAATTAAGCCGTGTGGGACAAAATTTACACAACGTACTGAAGTTACTACCGTGTGTCATGTTTCGTAAGAATCGGTTCAGATTTGGAGCTCCCATATATAGTTTCGTTCGATTTTAAGTCACAAAATGTTGCACAACGTACCGAAGTTAGAGTAGTCTAACGTGTGCCATGTTTTTTAAATCGGTTCAGAGTTGGATACCTCCTGAAGGAAAGAATTGAGATACAAAACTAAAATACTGGGTTTGAAATTGGCATATATCGGACATTAATTAGTCATAGCCCTCATATATGATAATCCCAAATATTGACTAATTAGTATACTATGTTATCAATATTGGTTCCCCTTTAGGCATAGCCTCATATAACTTTGCAATCTAAATTGCAGTAGTTTGAGGTTTGTATACTCTACCATGAGTTAATTAGTATCAGTACACTCTTTGGGGTTTTCATATTTTATGAAAAATCCTTAAGAAAACTTAACAATTTTTCCACTTTTTTTTTTTTTTGGAAACATAAAAATATTTTGTAAATTGTTTATAAAGTGAAATATTTTCTTTTATACCAAAAACCGACAGATAACAACAATGTAAACATTTCAAACCCCACACCTCCCAGTAATAAAAACAAAAACAACATTATCAGATTGAAAAGTATGCAACATCAATTCACCAACCAACCCACTTTGTCAAGACAAATAGTTAATTGTTATGACTGACTGACGGACTATTGACGTTAACAAAAAACTATAGAAAAACAATCTAAGATAAAAATAACATACAGTCCCGTACTTAACAGACAGGCCAATGACAATAAAAGACATTACGTGAAATTCACTTTTATCGCAGTTTTTTGAATTGGTTGTCATTCTTTTTTTGTTACAAACAATTATAAGGGTGGGCCGATGATGAAATACTTCACATTATATAGGCAATTTGTTTATTTTTGCGGAAAAGTCGTGGAATTATTTTATGGGGTGTGACTACATTTTTATTAGGGCGTATAATTATTTCGTCATTAGAGAATTTGTGAAACACTTCTATTAGATTTCAAACCTCTGCCACATGATCTGTACTGGTATATGATTTATTTAATTCTTTGAAATAGGATGGTTTATTTCATCTGGTTTTGCTGAACATTCTGTTATAATGGTCCAGGGATCCATGTAGGAAAACTTATGACTTCCGAAATAATGCAGCCGATCTCTTTGGACACCTTTGGGTTAATTTTTATGATAGGTTCCTTTTCTAAATTTAGAATTTTATATTAGCCTAAAGTTTGGGAGACTCCTCAATTTAAAAATGACAATGACTTTGCAAACTTTTGATTTTGGAAATTTCAACCTAATTATTATATAGTAATACTGATGATCATAATAATCAAATATAATAAAAAAATTCCCGCATATAAAACAATACTCGGTCATTAATATTAGATAAGAAATGTTGATGCGAATATTATAAATTAACTCATCATTGAGATTTGTTATGAAAATAGAATGTTGAAAAATGTATAATTGAATAATTCATTGTTATGTTAATTGGATTTGGATCGGCCTGTTTATACTCTCCACCATCAATCAGGACTTTTATATGGGTGCTATGACATGGTTAATTGTTGACAGATAAAAAGAAAAACATCAAATTACAGAGTCTAAGATTGGAACATTGAGCCAGAACCTCGAACATACCGATATCCTCAAAATACAAAAAATGGATTATATTGGGACTATACCAAGGCGAGTACAGCTATTGATATTTTTATGGGAAAAATTTACACCCAATGAGAATCCGAACTATCTGATTAAAAAAAACATATCTAAAATTCCCAAAATACGGAATTATGATAGGTGCAGCTATATAAGGGTTACTTTCAATATAAATAATTTTCTTTAATATAAAATTACAAAAATTTTGATTAAACGTGTCAAAATTCACAAAAACATCGATATTTTGGAGGTACCGTTATATGAGGGTCATCGCAAAAATGGTCCAATCCAATGATAATTCAATATACATACTAAATTATAGCCAATTTTGTTGAAAACGTGTTCGAACTCCCCACAATATCGAAATTGGGGAGGTACTATTAGACTAAAACGGCATTTACATTAGAACTTTTTACAAGGTTAACACACTATATGAGGATTTATATGAAAAATATACAATGGAATTGACAATTGATACCCATTTGGTTAACGAAATCTGCTACAATGTAAACGTACTATAATATTTTTGGTAGGAAGATTTGCTTTCCCAATGAGATCCGAAAAAATATAAATTTACAACAATTATAGTTCAAGAAAAAATTCCGAAAATTGGAAAGAACGTTTTTATTGGAGCTACCTCTAGTGATAATTTGTTGTAGGAAGATTTTGTACCCAATGTGAATTGCAAATATAAAATTACAGCTAATTTAAAATTACAGGAAATCCAAATAAAAATGTTAAATCGCACGATATATAGACGGCCAATTCTGGCCTCCAAAACATGAACCGACACAGCCGGGAAATGATTGGCGCAGCAATTGAAATGTTTCTCTGGATGCCCTCCACTTTTTTTCTAATCCAAGCGAACAATAAACTCATGTCACTATACTGAACACCATTGACTGTTTTCAATGATGTTTATTTTCATAAAAAAGGTCCAATAATTCCTCCAGCCCAAAAACCACAACACACAGTGACACATTGAGGATGCATTTGCTTCTCGTGAATCACTCGAGGATTTTTCTTCCTTGTGACTCGATATGCCGAGTTTTTGTGGTCCTGTACCGTGGGAATCTGTATTCGCATCCTTTCAACGGGGCCAGCCACAGTAATCAATATGGAGTTTCCTACTCGTCTTCAAAGGGTAGTCCCTTGTGTACTTCCTCACGGCTCTTAGTTATTTACTGATCAAAAGCTTACCGTTGGCAAAATCAAATCGTCCTTCGATACGTTGTCGGCAGACAATTTTCACTTTTGATTTCTTTGTCTTCGGTGGTTAATTGCGTCAGAGGCCCTGTCTTATCGATCGAGGCAGAGACGGGAGCTTCGGCACTCGAATCCCTCCGCATCCCTCTGTTTCATATCTGACGATCTTCCTCATCCGTCATTGGGGTATGTCCTCCGGAATGCATTCCTGCCTCTGGCGAAAACTGTCATATTTCTCCATTAGGTTGATTCCAGCCCGATCGGTTCAGCCAAATCAAATTGTACCGAATTTAGAACCATTTAGTATATATACATAAGTACGAGTTTAGAAAACTTCCCACATAGCCCTATTTTACAATCCAACTTAATTCCAAATTTCAGGATTTAGATCTATCGGAACACCAAAATCCAAATTTTGGTGGTAGCGCGTGCTGAGTGCGATGGTGCTGAGTCCTATTGGAATGTCCAAGGTCTGCGGCCAAAATGTTTGCGTGCACAAGTCTTTAATACACCCTCTAGAATACAGGATGAGATGAAAAAACTGCAACTGTCATTTCTAAGCCTCTCGTCCGACAGCTGTTAAAATTATTCCAGTGACAGCTCATTTTACAAGCGTACAAAAGCATTTTGGCGAGAATTTTCCAGAAAAAAGTTATTTCTGATGGAATTCAAGCGTCATAGTTTGATTTCTTTATATTTGGATGGAAAACCACAAGTGGCTATCGTTAGAGCGCTCCGGCATTTAAATGTAAATAAATTTTCTGTGGCTCGTACCATCGTTCGCTACCGTGATACTGGTAGCGTAGCCCGACGCCAAGGAAGTGGACGGAAAAAACCGGCAACATCGGCAGAAATGGTTCGAAAAGTAAAGAAGCGAATTGATCGAAAACCGCGTCGAAGTGGCCGAAAAATGGCCCGTGAGCCGGCAACATCGGCAGAAATGGTTCGAAAAGTAAAGAAGCGAATTGATCGAAAACCGCGTCGAAGTGGCCGAAAAATGGCCCGTGAGCTGAACATATCGCAATATTCCATTCGGCAAATATTGAAAAATTATCTCGGGGTAAAGCCATTGAAATTCCAAAAAGTGCAAGAACTTACACCACAACAGAAAGAAAATAGACAGCTAAAGAGTTGCTTCGCTTGACCGAAAGTGGTGAACTGCCGAATTTGGTGTTCTCCGATGAGAAAACATTCTGTGTCCTGCAGTTTTTAAACAAACAAAATGATCGTATTTACTTGCCAAAGAGGTCAGCTAAAAATGTGCAAGTTCGGTTGGCCACCAGAACTTAAACGCCGGCCATGGTGATGGTGTGGTCCGCCATAACAGCCGATGGTCGCTCTCCGCTCGTATTAATCAACCGTGGCATCAGAATAAATGCCGAATATTATCGCTAACATATATTTCCAAAACTAACTAATCCTATACTCCGACGGTAATATTTATTTGAAATCCAAGGATTCCAGCTCCATGTATACGTAGCTTACAAAATCACCTCCTTATATCGACCCTACTTCTCAATTCCAAATTTAATTCGCATTCCAAATTTTAATTATTAGTTCTATTCATTACATGTTACGAAATTTTACCAAAAGTACGTTTTATTACATTTCACTACTTTTCGGATACTTATAGTTCTAATAATTATAGTTCTTTGGTACATCTGTCCATGTATGGAATAAAATCTTTTCTGATCGCTCTAGATTCGAAAATCGCAAAATTTTACACAATGGGATTTGTCCAACGAATAAGTACGGGTGTTTTGATTTTGATCGGCAAATATATAGAGGGTCAAATACAACAAGCGTTTATATTTACTCCGGACTATTTACAGAGCTCTAAATATTTTGATATTATCATATATTACCATTTGTCTTTATGACCTATTTAAAATATTTTATTAGAACTTTGACAGAAATTAAATATTAACTATTATTAAAATTTAATTTCAGGTAATGAAAGCTTTGTGTTATGGATCCAAATTAATAGCTGGCTATTATGGTGATCGTAAACCTGAATTGGCGAAGCGTTATGCTATTGCCAGTTCGAGGATATCTGGGGCAAGAGCTACATTGCGTTTAATTGATGATATACCCATGATACAGTATGCCCTGGAATATGGCTTGGGTAAAGGGGTAAGTGTAATAAAATACTCAACTCTATTTTAAATTGGAACTAATATTGCTATTACTTTTTATTATTTTTGTAGGAATCAGATAGCATTATGGCTGTGCTGGGTGTGGCAGCCAACATTGTTGATTTACTCTATTATCCTGTAGAGAAAATCTGTTGGTTATCCGAACACAAAATCGTTGATATTAAAAATGCCGATTATTGGGATAATGTCAATACGATATTTTGGGTTGTGGGTGTCTATTTGAATTTGATGAGGTAAAGGATTTGCTTCTATTTTCTTAAAACTTCCTTAAACTAATTTCTTGTTTATATTACAGAAACATACGCAGCTTTGGTTTAAATCAACAAAAAATAAATACCATCAAGGAAACAAAGTAGGTGTAATAAAATTTCATTGTTAAGATTTTTTCTAATACCCATTATTTGTTTATTAACAGAGACAATCCCGACATGGAGAAAATGTTAAAGAAACATCGTATCGAAATGTTAACATTGCTGCGTTTAACCCTCGATTTTATACATGCCGGTAGCTATTTGCCCAAGGGTTATCTCTGGGGTGGTAAATTGTCGACATTCCAAATTGGTGCCATTGGTACAACCTCAGCAGCGATAGGAATTTATCAAATCTTTGCCAAACGGAGACTTAATAAATAGGAATGCAGAAAATATTTAATTTGTTTTTTTTTTGTTTTGCTAATTTTGAAGTCTTTATTAACTTCAATATTTATGATTAAAATTTTTGTTTGTTTTTTGAGACTGCATTATATTGTGGGCATATATTGTGTGTTTGTTTTCTGTTTATTTGTGTTGTATAGTGCAATTTTATTGTCACAGATATTTAAATATTTTGTATTGCTTAGTTCCTAAGTTTCAAATTTTGTTGAAAAGAAAAAACAATATATATGGATGAGATTTGTATGTATGTATATTGTGAATGTTGTATAATAAAAATTTAGATAATTTTTTATATAAATATGTGTATTGTTTTTGTATTTTAATATATACTTGTATAGACTAATTTTTATTCTGAGTGGATGAAGTAATCTAATGACAGTAAATTAAAAAATATATATTAATAATTACAGAATGAATGCAAACAATAATTGGTTTTTCCGATAATGGAAAGATAAAAGATTGCGACATATAATATATATATATATATATATCATTATTCACTTTGCTAACACTATAAAAAACGGACTAATATATCAAATATTGGGGATACTAAAAGTCGAAGTCGACTTTTGATCTTTGAGAAAATCGAAAAGTCGACTTTTCAAAATCGACTTTCGGTTTTCTTCATAAATACTTGGTTTATTATCACAAAGCCGAAATTGCCCAAAAATTTCAACATTCCAGGACTTTATTGCATCTGTTGACAACAACTTTTATAAAAAATAATTTTTTCGTCGATTTTGCTTTAATTAGTAAAATTCGAAAATCGATTTTGACAAAATCGAAAGATCGAAAAGTCGACTTTTTAGCCAACGACAAAAGTCTAAAAATCGACTTTTTGGCCAGAGGCAAAAATCGAAAAGTCGACTTTTGCGCTCAACTCCGTATCCGTTATTAATCGCTGTTGTTGTTGTAGCAACTGTGTACATGTTTGTTGTATTTCAATTATTCTGGTTCTGACTCCTCTGTTTCCAGGAAGGTTGCAATCGGCTGTGTCCAAAGAGATTCCGAAGACAGATGAGTGGGTTTATCAGGGCAGTTAAAGAGATGTAGCGTATCGTGAGGTCCAAGTCCACATGCAGGGCATGCGTTTCGTACCGCGCTGTCAATTCGGGCCCAATACGAATTGAGGCGGCTGCACCATCCTGATTGGGCTAAAACCACTATCATTTGTCTAGGCAGCTTTCGCTCTTCTGCTTCACATGGTATTGGTCCATTGCCTGGGTCACTGCTTCCGTGTGATTGCTGGTAATTTCTGCTCGATAAGCCTGTTGACCTAGGGGTTCTCTTTTGTACCGTTGGACCCCTCTGTCTCTCAAGATCATGTAGGTCTCTCCTTACGTGCCTGGGTGGGGGAATTCTATCCATAAGATTGTGGCATGGATGATTCCTGCGATAACACCCAACGCCATAATCGTACAATCATTCGCATACAGTACGATCTCTATGCCGTCCGGTGGTTGTGGAATTTCAGAAAGGTAGGGGTTAAACAGTTTCGGAGATATGACCGCACCATGGGGAACTCCGTGTTTCACTCTACGGGGTTTAGATTTTTGTTTTTGTGCCTGGGTGGGGGAATTCTATCCATAAGATTGTGGCATGGATGATTCCTGCGATAACACCCAACGCCATGATCGTACAATCATCCGCATACAGTACGATCTCTATGCCGTCCGGTGGTTGTGGAATTTCAGAAAGGTAGGGGTTAAACAGTTTCGGAGACATGACTCCCTGTTTCACTCTACGGGGCTTAGATTTTTGTTTTTGAATTCCACATATGACTAGCGACCACACATGTTATCCATCGTTTCAAACTAGGCAGGAGGTTGGTCTTCTCTATGTCCTCGAACAGCTTGGCGTGATTGACAGTATCGAAGGCTTTCGATAAGTCAAGAGCCACCAAGACTGGCCTGTCGCACGGCCTGTTTTAGTTAAGTCCTTTGCTTACATGTGTGGTTATGGTGTGTAATGCTGTAGTTGTGCTGTGCATCCTCCGGAATCCATGTTGATGCTGAGGGACTGGAAATCTAATTCTCATCAGAGGGAGGGGTAGTGACTCAAGCGTCTTTGCTACTGGAGACAGAAGGGAAATCGGCCTGTACGATTTACCTCTGCTGGAATCCTTGCCTGGCCAGCAGGTATATGGCGAGCGGTTGCAGCAGTGATTATGTCTCGGAATTTCCTCTCAGCTACCCGAATTTCCTCTAGCTCTCTGAAGCGGCGATTGGTTAAATCTCTGAAACCTTGCCAATCAGCTTTACCATGGTTCAGGAAAGTTCGGCGTTCAGAGGTTATGAAATCGGGTGGTCTATTTACAGAGACGATGATGGGAAGGTGGTCTGAAGCAAGAGAAATGACGGGCTGCCAGATTACGTATTTTATCAGACCTGGTGATGGTGATGTCCGGCGAGCTGTGGCAATCTCCTCTTATTCTCGTGGGGGCATCCTCATTACCGTGCAAAATCTGGAGCTGTCAATTTGCTCTGGCAGCGCTGTACCCCTCTGTTTATTCCCGGACTATCAGGCTTGTGGAATAATTGTTGGGAGGGGTGAGATGCATGATGGCTACCAATATCGCGTGATGTTGGTGGCCACTTTTGCATTGTATCCCCTTTCAGCAATTGTTTCATTGTAGAGAGCCTGCATGTTAGTCCTAATGGTAGTAGCTTTGGCTATGAAGCTGGGCAGAGGCTATAGTCTGTGAGTGACCAGTCTTGAACTGTTTGGGGTTCTACTGGTAATAGCTTTGGTTATGAACCTGACCGAAGGTTTCGGTAGCACGGGTGTCAGGGCCCCTAGGTCTGCTGATCTAGCCTGGCAGTTGGCGTTGGCCCTTCGGGGAGCATCGTGCTGGATGTGGTTTATACCCAAATCGCGGGTAGAGCTGTGGCTCGATGTGGAGTTGCATTACAATCGGGTGCCTGACCCATAGAAAGGAAGGAGTTTTAGATGGGCTCCGCTCCTCATCCAAGGAGGTGATCGCGTTCAAATACGTGTGATCGATTGGTACCTGCATTTCGGTGTGGGGGCGTTGGTTGACGCTTTGTATTAACTGGTGTTTACAGCACCGTGGGGTAAGACCGCAAGGTAGGTACCCACGTACTCTAAGCATCTCTGTACCCCTCTGGTCATACTACTACTACATGTTATTTATTGTGATTTCAACAGACGGACGGACATGTCTAAATGCACATAGAATTCTATTCTGAGCAAGAGTATAGACTTCATGGGGTCTCAGTTGAATATTTCGAGGTGTTGCAAGCGAAATGAAAATTTTAATATACAATACAACTTGTGGTGGAGGGTATATTGCAATGAATGTTGTTACTGCAGAACTTTGAAGGCCGTGGTTCAATAATACTTACTTTTTTGGATTAAAAACTAATTAAAAAATAACTTGTATTTAGTTTTTGTTTTTGGTTTGAAATGCTTTATTTATTTTGATTATATGATTTGTTGTTGTTATTATTATTAATATTTTTGGTTTTGTGTGTGTTTCTTTTTTTACATTTTCTTGTTGTTTTTGAAAAACTTAAATATTCATTCTTAGGCTTTTATATTGTCATTATACATTTTAAAAATGATTTGGTTTTTCATTTATTTGTTATTTTTTTAATTTGCTAGTGGATCAAAAATGTTGCTATTGCTTTGTTGCTATTTTGTTGTTGCTGTTGATTTTGTTTGAAAATCTTAAAAATAAAATTAATAAAATTCTAGTTGTTTTCCATTTTGTTTTTGGTATTCTCGGTTGTTATTGTGTTACTTTTTGGTTGGCATTCTGTTTGTCTGTCTGTCAGTTTATTTATTTTTTTAATTAAATATTTTTTGTTTGCTAAAACATAAAAAATACGTACTGTTAGTTATTATCTGATGATTTTAAAACTTAATACAACAATAATTTAAAAACAATTTAAATTCCCTAGTTTTTTTTTGTTTTGAAAAATTTCACAATATTTTTTTTTTCAAAGTTCTTTTTAGTTAATTTTTTTTAAATATTTTTTTTGTGTCATCCGAACTCATAATAAAATCCCATATTAGTTTAAAAGCTAATATGCTGATTAATATATATGAGTATTTTTTATTTATTTTGTATGTATATATGTGTGTTTTAGTGTTTTATTTTTTATATTATTAATTAAGTATAGCTCATTGTTATATATTTGTTTAAATATTAAGTATATTTTTCTTCTTCTTCAAAAATGTTCATTAACCTTTACCTATTAAGATTTTTATTTATTTTTATTTGTTATTCATTAAATAAAAGCTCATATATAAATATATAGGTTTTTTTGTATGTATGTGTGTTTGATTTTTTTTTAAATTTTCTCTTGTGATTGTTGTTGTATTGCATGTGTATTTGATTTTTTTTGTTGTCAAATTTTATTAATGTCTTGTATTATAGTATATATATTTTTTTCAATTTTTTTTATTATTTAAATTTATATAAACTTCGTTTCTGTGGGATTTATTTTTAGTTATTGTGTTTTCTTAAAACTTCTTATGCTCCTTTTTGTTGTTGTTGTTTTTTGTGGTCTCGTGATTGTGTTTTAATGATTTTTTTGTTTTGTTTTTATAATTTTTTTAATTATAATAATTATTATTTTAATTAATTATTTTTTTAAATAATTGGTTTTGTATACTGCCTAGCTACATTTGTTGTGGGTCTTTTTGTTTGCATTTTTTATTTTTAAATATATACATATATATTTTAAATATATATATAATAATATTTAATGACATTTTGTAAGCTTCGAAATCTTTTCAAATATTTTTTTAATTATACTAATATGTCATGGCTCATTATAAGCCTCGAAATTCTTTATAAAATCACATTAAAAACAGTGTTAAATTTCGAAACCTTTTAAAACTCTTTATCAAATGAGATAAAAATATTGACTTCTAAAAACGTTTAAAATTCTAAAAATTTGTAGGAACAAATAAATTTGTAGAACAATGAATTAAACTAAGGCGAATATGTT